AAAAAAAAAAAAAACAATCACAAAAACGCAAACAATTCTAAAGAACAGTCCATCTTTCATCACTTGGGTTTATAATGAAATCCTCACCGTGGAAGGGGTATTCCTTCAATTGTCTGGACATCCCTGGGAATTTCTGGTGCCTGTTTGGGAGGTGTGTACTCCGAGATTTTCTTTAAGTCATCGTACAAGTCGCTTACGATACGCACCGACAAAAACCTCAGGATATGAAACTCTGGCAAATCTTCGGACTGGAATGTAAGTACACCAGGAACATACGAATAACCGAACTCACGGCGACGTTTACAGCCAATCCTGAACCTCTTCTGGCAACCTACAGCACACAAAACCGTTTATTCCATTTTTTAGGCACTCATGAGGAAGAAGTGTGGGCTCGTTACCCACAATCTGATGGGCCGCGCCCAATTTAACTCATAGTAGTTTGTTGATCATGAGCTCACGTCATAGGAAAATGTTGGAAATAAAAAAAACTTAAAAAAACCAAAAATGAAAAATGGTTCAAACTCGTCATCTCGTCTCTTAAAAAATGTGAAGTTGCATCGAAATCACTGACTATATCAGAGATCGGTGTCTTAATGTGTAACTCAGCAGTAAATCTCTATCGCGGACAAATGTTGCTGAAGCTTTATAGCTCACCCTCGTGATCATGTATATCAAAGCGATCTTCGCGATAATGAACACTACTTGAATAGTTGTGGAAATAAGGTCTTTCATTGATCATCACCGCTAAATTAGTGTTCATTACTGCGAAGATTGCTTTGATAATCATTCCTTGACCGGCAGTTCACATGTAGGATTTTCATATCTTCACAGTCCTCTAGATTATTTTAGGAATATTTTAGGTTCCCTTTTCTACTGATATTTATCATGCTATTATGGATGTTATGAACAATTCTAGTTTCATTGCGTGACTTTGAACAATGCGTGATTATCGAAATTTGCGTGATTATTTTTCTGTTTCTCCGTGGTTTTAAATAGCTAAGCGATTGCGGTTTCCTATATATGACAGCTCATGAATAGTTCGTTTTCCTTTATTTGACACTTCATGAATAGCTTGTTTTAGGACTAGATTTTTTAGGTTTTGATTTCAGTTGAACTAAGCTTCATCGTATTAGTTCTCACAAGCAACAGAGATCCACTCTTCAGAATCTTCTAATCAAGTACAACAAAGATAAAAGAAATCTCTGATGGTCTGATACGTTTGCCGCCTTCTGTACCGATGGAAAATACGTTCACTCATTTAATGGACAATTGCCTGTTCCATTGTAACTATATCTTTCTATTCTAAATCTGTATCGCAAATCAGTAAAGGAAATTTCCCGATAGTTGCAGGAGTAAGTTAAGAATTTTACCTGGATAGAGTTGACCCTCGGACGGTCCGATATTGGAGATTTCCTTGTAATCAAAGAAGTTGACACTCCATAGTAGAGTGATTTATTTCAGTGTAATAATCATTTCACTGAGGTTCTCTATAATCAACACAATCTGCCCGTATTTTCCACTCTCCACTTTCAATTCTATCACACCATGTTCCTCTCCTGTGGGATCTGAAGAAACTTTTATTCCATTTTTGTCAAAGACAAGCTCTGGTCTGTCACGGGTAAAAAAAAAAAAAAAAGAAGGAAAATTGATGTTTGCTCTAATTAATATGACTAAAGAACCGTTAAGTTCAATTCTTATCTCAAGTGTTTGACTACGAAAAGCAAAACATGAAAGGGTTGAAACATTCTATCCTTAAATAAATCAAAGACCTTGATGGCTATCACAATTACTGGTGGACGCTGAAGTTTAGATTGTGGGTCGTGCATGACTTAGTGAAAACCTTCATGTTTCGTCTGTACAATCTTACCTTCCAACCTCCCCTCCCCTCCCCACCCCTCTAACACTTACACAAACACACATGGACAAAAGTTTGGGGCTCCTTCATTTTAGACCTGTTTCGTGTGTGCGGAAAATCGAACAGGAGGATAGGGACAAATTACCCATTGTCAACGCGAAAATGGAAAATGTTTTTCTTTGAAATGTCCTTTCTTTACTCCCTCAATGTTGCAGTAAGATAAGATAAAGGAATTATGAAAAAAACAAAGGAAGAAATAGGCTGATACGTGATGAAACAAAAAAAGTTCAAAGGGAAAGCATAATGTCCACTTAAACAACGACACAAAGGTAGAAATTAAAGTACTTTGATGTCATGACTAGATAAAACGATCTCTTGATACTCCCTAAACCTACCCCCTTTAGAGCATAGTCTTCGAGAACATGTCAAAGAATTTAAAATCTTTGTGATATTTGAATGCCTACGACATTAATTTTAATTTCTTACTTCGCCAAAGATTTTCGAGTCTTTTTGAGCATACGCTGTTGGCGATGTTTCACTCCTGCTATGTGATTTAAATAGGCCGCTCTGTCTCCTAGATCTCTCCTGCAAACTTTACAGTAGAACCCCTGAACGCTCATCATAGCATAGGGAATATCATTTTCATCTTCGTCTTCATTATCATCTGACTCATCAGGGTCATCAGTGAAGAGTTGAAGAGAAGCAGATTCTCCTCCTCCAAAAATGACACGATCTTGAAGTAGCTGGCAAGCGTTTAGATGG